ACACAAAAAAACTTAAAGAAATGAAACAAAACATTTTAATAGTAAGTTTTAATTTGTTAAAATTATAAAACACTTCTATGTTTTGCTCTCAAAATACTATCTGTCTTCACGTTCTGGATGCTTAGCTTTTAAATGAACTGCAAACTGTGACAGCTTTATAGCAGCAATAGCTAATATAACTTAAGGTACAACACATACAAAGGTCAAGGGTCACCATGTCAGTTATTTATGACAAGCCTTCAGCTCCAGGCCTTGGGGGTGGTGGCAGCAGGGGACCTGCAGGCTACACTTCCAAGATTCCCTTGCCAGCTGCTTTCCAGCTGGGGTTCTGCCAATGGGAGAATGAAAGTGTGTGCTTCTGGGAGCACCCCTGGCAACAGCTTCCTGATCTCTGGTAACCAACCCCCTTCTCCTTTTGGCAACTCCAGCCCCTCCATTTTGTATTCGTAAACCATCTGTAATCAATTCCCATGGTAAATCCTTTTCCGACTCAAATATCTAGAGTTGTTTTTGTTTTTATGATAGACACTTTACTGAATCATCATTAAAGATAAGCCATATTTAAAATGATACTGATAATTTCCTTTTTGGAAGGGCCAAGCACTTGTTAGATCAATTACATCATCATTGTTTCTACCTCATAAAATGACTGATCATTTTAGAAACAAGAGCAGTGTCAGTTTTTCCCCTTTCTTGTTCACAATAGTTTGCTTTACTAGTATTATCTTAAATGTACAGTTTCTTTGCAGGAATCTTTTTAAGCTATTTGTTCATTTTTTGAGATTGAGTTTTGTTAATAATAGATACTATAATCTGTAAATCCCTGAATTTAGCACCAAATTGAAAGCTGAAAACGTGAGGTGCTGAAAGCACCACTGTCAACCCCTGTGTGTGGTACAATTTCTACTCTTCTGCTAAAAAATGACTGACTAGCACGAAGACTGCATCCACATAGTAAATATTTCCAAAGCTCAATTTCTTTCCTTTATTAGGTGAAAAACAATATAAATATAAGTTCCAACATTCCCCACCCCCCCCCCCAGTGAGCCCTCTTATAAATCCTACTTTGACAACCCATTATTTCCCAAAGTTTGTTTTCACTACTTCAAAAGATGAGGGAACGGAAATATGATGTTCAAAGGCTTGCAAAATGCAGTATTAAACAAATTCCTAACGGTTCCCAACTTTAATATATTAAATGCAGTGTCAATTTGAAGAAGGGGATATAATTAGAATCTACAAGTTCTTTCAACAGAGAATCCTTTTTACACAACTCTTTTTTTTTCAAGGAGACTCTCACAAAATTAGTGTTTCAAAAAACTTACTTTGGAAAATGTTGACCTACATGAACTGGTTCAAGTTTCAGAAACTTAATGAAGATATAATACGAAAGGCCACTAAGGGAGAAACCTGACTGTCATATCCTAGTAAGGGGAGAACTTTCAGGGCCAAGCTTTCAAGGAAGGAGTATTCTAAGAGATAATGCTAATCATATCATTCTTTTGGGCCCAATAAATGCTTTCTGAATGGCAAGTGCAGTAGGTATTATATCCCAGATAGTTTGTGAACTAAAGAGATAAATTTGAATTTAATGCTTAGAATAGTGCCATGTACAAAGTGGGAGTTCAAATATTTGGAGATGATTACACATATATGTCAATTTATCTATGTGCCATAAGTGGGTAATAAAGTTTCTGGGGTAAATGCAAGCTAGTTTCTTTCTGATCAAATGTAAGGATACAGTTTTACAAATACATATGCCATTTTCACTCCCTCTTTCACTTTTTGCACAAAATTTTTTTCTTATTTTTATCCTGAAAATGCATTCAAAGAATCTCAAATGTAAAAACGAAATACTGGGCTTCATGTTTATAATAAAGTTCTACCTGGCAAAACCTTGAAAACGTTTCAACATTACATTGAGTTTAAAATTTTTTATTGAACGTCTTGACTACATAACCTCTAAGTCATTCTTGTTGAACTATGGTGATGTTTCTCAGTCCTTTAAAAATCAATGTCGCTTTCTGATAACAATAACAAAAGTTTTATACTCTTCCTATAGTTGGTATTATGCTATAACACTGAACATGCTTTTAAAAGTTATGGAATGCGTCCTCTATCCATTCTGATAGACTCCCACGGAAAAAAATCACTAAACGTTGAAATAATGCAATTTCACAGATTATAGTCAACCTCAGTCAACCTGTTTTTATGTAAACAAAATCTTAATCAACGATATATGACTCACTATAATTACATATGACTCATTCACACTATGACAACCTTAACAAATTGATACCATGAACTGAAATGTCACTTACTGCTAAAAAGAGTCTTTCAAGTGGATGTTATAGCTTTATATCCTAACAAGGAGTTAAGAATACAATGTATGCGTACTTATTTTAGTAGTAAAAAGAAAATGATATAAAAACATCCTAAAAATATGACATTTGGAATCTATCTTCTATATCTGCCAGGTAGATTACAGCTCCAATGTCACTAAGAATATGAACGAGACAGAGGTCAGAGCTTTGATACTAGCAAAGTGTCAGCTTTGATCAACCTAGGAGAGATTTTCCTTTTGCCTCAGAAATGATGTTCTGTAGCAGTATAACAAGAGCGACCCTTGTAGTGGAATTTAGGAAAAAATGATTATAGTATAGAAATGTGGACTCACCACGTCAAAGGAAATATAGATTATATTCCAACTGGGGTTTGAAAAGGCATGACCAGGGAACTGAAGGAAGTGATAGCTCCTTGAAGACAGGAATTTTATCTGTTTGATTCACCAGGAGCAGGTATCTCAGACACAAAGCAAGCATTTAAAAAATATTTGTTATGGAGAGAAAAATCTCAGATAACTGTGGGAGGATACTGCCATGGCTAGGTACTAAGACTCTTCCCTAGCTTTCTTCCCTTTCCCATCCCAACAGAAAAGCTTTACTGCTCACTATAACAAATCAGACAATACATGCTCACTGTGACAATTCCAACAACTCAAAAAGATTTTATAATGAACAAAATTAGGATAAAATCACTCTAGCTTCTACTATCCAAAAATATCAACTGTTATTTAACTAATCTTTCTTTTTTGGACATGTGTTTCCAATCTTTTCCTATCTTAAACAATAGAGACAAACACTACGGTATATACATCTCTGGGCGCTTGTCTTACTGTGATAAATTCTTAGATACAAGACAGCTAGGTCAAAGCATATATCCTTTTACAGTACTTTTGACACAAACCCAAACTTCTCTCCAGAATGGTTGTATCTCTTTATAGCCTATGGAAAGGGTGGTCCTTCATGTCCTCACTGTGATAAAAAACATACACAAGAGTGGAAACTGTACACAGAAGCCTGGCCCATAAGTGAAGAAAAAAGCCTAGTCAGCGGCTACAGGAGAAGCACACTAATGAAGAAGACAAAGTCAATTAAGACCTGTACTGTTTTACTTCTCTATTTCCACTTGACTCCAGAAAATTGTATATATTCCCATCTAAGGGTAGAAAAGATGAGAACAGAAGAGGACAAAGAAGTAGACTTTCATCTTGTCTCAATCAACAGACAACATAAAAATATCTCTCTTGGATTATCCGACACTTTTGTCTCCAGTTATCTTGCCTGTCCTCTTCCTTACTTTACTTTTCTCCTAGAGCATAACCAGAGGCTGTAAAATGAAAGCCTGGCAGGATACAGCCGAACTTTCACTTGCTTTACCTAACCCACATCATGTAGCAATTTTTAAAATCTGAATGTCTTTAGGAAGAGCATGTGCACTCCAGTTCAACACAGTCCCTACCATTTTACCTTCTTAAATTTCAGCATTCTGCTCATTCAAGATGCCTGCTTGGCCCTGTTGTAAGCATCTGCATCTGCTACCTCTCACATAAAATAACCATAAGAAACTCAAATATCATAAAGTAGTGGTTTGGCAGATCCCATTCTGTGTCATTTAATAAGTTTGGATACTTAAGACCAGTCTTAAGGAGGGTTTATTTCTTCATAAACTCAGTATCAAGAGGAATCTTAAGCAACAAAGTAGGACATCAGATATCAACTGTTAATTGCTACTCGACTGAGGCTTCATTTTACTTTCAGAATATCATCACATTTCTCCTTATATTACAGATATTTCAAGACCCAAAACCCTTAGCCCATTTAGCATTGCTAATGACCTCCAGCAACAGAGCAGAGCGGTTAATTAAGAGTATGGCTCCTAAACCAGACTACTTGAGTTCAACACCTAGACTGGTCAACTACTGCCTGTGTGACCTCAAGTAAGCTAACCTCTCTGCGTCTTCAGTTACTTCATCTGTAAAATGAAGATAACAGTGGTAGTTACTTCACAGGGTAAGTATGAAGATTAAATGTCTCATTATTTATGATGCACTAAGCCTGGCACAAAGTATACACAATATGCATACAATATATGTGTGTATTGTATACTGCATAATATAATATATTATATTATATATGATATACTTCAATAAAAAAGGTTTAAAAAACATATATGGGCAGTCTTCACTTTGCAAGGTAGTGGAAGACCATAAGAATGCCCGCGAAAGCTGAAACTATGTAATCTTAATAATCAACGGGGAAAATTACCCTTCTGCCATGACCTTTAAAATTTTTGGTCAAAACACTAAAAACTCTCAGTTATAAAGGTAGAAAAAATGAAAAAAAATAGTAAAACTAATATTTATTAAGAATACTGTAATTTAAAACATAAGAAATACTGAAAAACGAAGTGTTTTATTTCTTTGAAAAGTTTATCAAGAGTACTTTGAACAGTGGTTGCCTTCTTCTTATTGTTTAACTAGGATACAGAGGGAGCATCTTTTCTATACTTGGCAACCTGCCATATTCCTTATGAAGTCTGGATAACTCAAGCACCTGATGGCAAGGTGCATGACTGCTGGGGTCCTTTCAAAACTGAAGAGTCTGTGACACAGCAAAGAATAAAGATATAACAGAATGAAGAAAGACATGAAGACTTACATTGTATTGATGATTAGCAACAGGTTTGTAATTGGTTGTCACTACTTTATCCAGTTGTTGTGATAGCCTTACGGGTTTAGAAGATTCTTCTATTTGCAATCTGAAAAATAGAAGGCATTATTAACAAACTTACTTGTTTATTAGAGTGAAATCTGAAGTTATTCTTGTAATTCTTCTTACTCAAGAAATAATACTTAATATATAAAAAATTAAAATATAGAAAAAATTAACCTCAGAAGATATACCAGCCTTAATACTTTAAAAACACACTGACTATAATTATAATGTAGAAACCAGACCCTAAGCTAAACATACAAACTTTCTCATTATAATTCTATAACTTACTTCTAGTAAGTTCTATACTATATAGTCAAACCCTAACTACTAAAACAAAGAAGCTAATCAGCTTTAAATTTCTGGGAAAAAAAACCTGCACATAAAAATGAATTCTCTTAAATTATATGGTCTGAAACTAATCAAGTTATTATCAAAACTTCTATCCACTTGATAAGAGATAAAGGTAAACAAAAAGATAATACATCAGCACTCAGGGTCTAGCGGCTAGTGGCTACCTTATTAGATAGTGCAGATACAGAACATTTCCAGCATCACAGAAACTTCTATTGGACAGCACTGGTCTAGAACTACTGCTGGACTCCAACTAAATTAAAATATAACTCAAAATAGCACTTTTGGAAAAAAGCCATAAAAAAAGATATGATACTACGTACAGCATATTACAAAACAAAATATTTGACTAGTACATATATACTCAAGTAGCAATTTTAGGAGATTTTGTTTTGGACTAAACATTACCATATTTAGTGACTCATACTCAACCATTTATTTTTATTTTAAAAATGAGATAATTCATTTGGTATATCGGCACAGTAAATCTAAAAAATGTTTCAAGGAGGGAAAAAAGTGCAGCTTTCTGAGGTGATTATTTTTAAAGAGACAAAAGGTACCATTGTACCTTTAGATTTCTCACCAGCAAGATATCAGAATACAAGAATATACTTAAAAGCACTACAGGAAAAAAACTGTCAATCATGTCTAGCTAAATTACAATTGAAGAGTAAGAGTGAAATAGAAGTATTTTTTGACAAAATCAAAGTATATCACTCATAGATTCTCACTGAGACAACCACTCAAGGATTTATGTCAGTAAGAAAGAAAATGAACCCAAAGGGAACTAGTAGGATGCAATGGTCACAGCAAAGGAATTGAGAACCATGCTAGAATACTACCTGCTTACTAAATACAGAAAAAGAAGGTGGTTTTTTGAAAAACAAAGTGGAACTAACATGAAAGATGGGAAGGAAGAGATCAGAATTATTTTAAGATTTCTATATGTTTTCTAAATTTTCTGCAATAAGCATCTATTACTTTTATAATCAGGAAAGGAAGTATACTTTCTTAAAGAAAAAAGAAATATCGTTTCGTGGAAGGTTAGTTTGAAAGCCATAAAGATGTTGGTCATTTAAAAGTAATACAGTTCAACATCATACATTATTTTACTTGAATAGGACTTTCAATTCTTTAGTTCAATAGAATAGGAACTAAAAATAATTTTCATCTAAAATTTCTTCAAAAGCACAACTTGCAGTATAAAAGGTATCTGTTTTTATAACATTCTTATTATTTAATTCCTTGGATGAAGTTAATTCTCTATTTTTACCTATTTTTAGGTATATGACACCAAATTACTTAGATGATATAAGATATCTACCAATTGCTCTTTTAATTTGAAAGCTATAAATACTGTGGGTTTTGTTTTTACTATGACCCCCAAATTCAGTATACTCATTTTTGTACTGAATTAGGAAACTTTTAATTTTTCCATTTATAAATTCATATCTATCCTTTAAAGACACAAAATGATTTTATAAAGTGTAAGAAAAGTACTCTAGAAACGTCTTTAAAAACTTACTGTATATGTAACCATAAATCATATGTCCAATGATTTATGGTTTTGCTTTTGCTTTTCATGTGCCAAATATACTTTCTATAAACCATGAAGAAAGCACTAGCTAGAGATCTAGAAGGGAGATGTCCACCCAAAGATGGACTTGGACTTAACAATCGTTCATATGTCCTTTTTTGTGTGTGTGAGGAAGATCAGCCCTGAGCTAACATCCATGCCCATCTTCCTTCACTTTATATGGGACGCCGCCACAGCACGGCTTCACAAGCGGTTCGTTGGTGCGCGCCCGGGATCTGAACCTGCCAAACCCTCAGGCCGCGGAAGCGAGTGCGTGCACTTAGCTGCTGCGCCACCGGGCCTGCCCCTCGATGTCCTCGTAAATGTTCTTAGATGAAGCACAAGCTCCTTCACATGACTTCCTGTCCCTCTGGGATCTAGTCCCTGCTTCTCTCTCCAGCTTTATCCACCATTCTCCCACATCTGTATCAGGTTGCAGCTGTGCCATGATCAGATTTTAGAACACCCCCTCAAAACCAAGAAACACACACACTAGCTATACCAGGCCAATAGTCAGCAGCCTTCTGAACTATATATCTATATCTATATCTATACCTATATCTGTATATATATATCTACATCTATTTTTTGTTTTAAGCAAAGCAGCAACAAAGAATTAAGAATTATTACTTGAAGTAGGAAAGTCACCACACAAGTGTGTCATAATCACTGGCATCAAGACTATAGTTTTGCTGAAGGACCAGCAATTTCCTCCTCCTCCATTCCCACACTCCCATCCTGAGGAGAATCCATGAGCTGGCTGACTGACTCTTCTAGATTGCTCTTAGGGGAGTACATTCCATTTGGTGCTCAGACTAAGAATAGAAATATATCTCCTATATAATACAGAAATTTGATTGTTTTTGGCTTTCTATAAAACTAGCAATTTCATGTGATTCAACTTAACAGCTCCCTCTTAATGAAAGACTTAACACTGAGCTGAATTTTTCTACATGAGACTAACATAATTCAAAGTGCTAATGAAGTCCCAGTGTATGAGTGACTTGCCCATGAAGATACAGTTTGTCAGAGGCAGAAAAGGAAAAAAGATTCAAGATTCCTCGCCCAGTGCTCTTCACCTATATCATAATTGCATCTTAAATATAACGAAACAATTTAGATCTCTTTTCAAGTTGGTAAGTGTATACTATCCCAATTTAAAATATTTTTAAAAATATATGATGCCAAAAATATGTTCATTACATTAGCTAGCAAGGTGTTCAGAAGGGCCTGCACCCAGCGAGGATAGGATGATTTACACTGGACTTTGTTTTCTCCTAGACTCTTGTTAGAAACAACAGCCACACACAAGTTTCTGGTATGTGTTGAGCAAGGTAAAAAAACTTTATTACCCACTTATGGCACATAGATAAATTGACATATATGTGTAATCATCTCCAAATATTTGAACTCCCACTTTGTACATGGCACTATTCTAAGCATTAAATAAACCCTTTACTGCTTAGGCTTTTCCTGTTAATCAAATACTCTAATCACTATTTCAGTACAGGCATAAAGAAATACATGAGGAAAAAAAAATGTTTAGCTGATCAGGGACCATTTATTACTTCTCAATACATGACCAAGTAGCTGCTCTTTCTATGCTAGAAATGAAATTACCCTATACTCCAACCGACGATGAATAACAAAAATACTTAAGTTTCAGTCTTTAAGAACTTTTCATTTTATTTCCCTTCTTCAAACTCCAACAAAAGTAAAAAGCCTAAATAACTTGGTATGGTTCCTAGGGGTAGGGGGGTGAAAGCTTATCTATCAAAAGGACTGGTAATATTTATAACTCAATATTTGAAAAAGCAACAAAGAAACATCTTTTGTATTCAGAATCATGCCGATAATCTCACATTAAAAAAAAAATCAGAGGGCCAGCCCCAGTGGTCTGGTGGTTAAGTTCACCATGCTTCGCTTTGGTGGCCCAGGTTCACTTCCGGGTGCAGACCTATACCACTCATCTGTTAGTGGCCATGCTGTGGCGGTGGCCCACATAAAAGGAAAAAAAAAGAGGAAGATTGGCAACAGATGTTAGCTTAAGGCGAATCTTCCTTAGCCCCCGAAAAATAAAATCAGAGACTAAAGCAAACTTATGGCATACAGAATGACCTTGAATAATGCTTAGTCTAGAAAGAATGTACCATACCATGGTACAGCAGGGTCCGAAACCAGACTCTGGTTTTAATTTCTAGTTCTACCATTAGGTGTGACTTTGGTAAAGTCAGTCAACCTCTTTAACACCTTGGTGCTCTGATGGGAAAAAATGAGGATTATAACAACAGAAATATGTGATATAATCTTTATAAAACACTTAGGGAATGACTTGTCCCATATTATGCATTCAGTACATTTTAGCTATTACTGTAGTTATTGTTTTCACTCAAGTAGCCACACTGAACAGAAATGTATGGGAGTTAGCTGAATAAACACAATTTTTAATAATTGTCTGGTTCACCAATTGGATTTTAAAACCAAAACTTATGGCATCTGTGTTCACTCTTTATTTATTCTGATGGGGGATAGTTGGCTACATAAGATTAAAAGCACTTTCTTTGATCTCCTCTGATGTTTCTAAGGATAAGCAAATTTCTTTCTAAATGCCATTCAGCTGCAGGTAAAACATGTAATGTTCATGCAAGTGCTAATTAGAACTAATTATAATTTAACCACAGCACCAAAAGACATATAAAAATATAGTAGCTTATAGTTTTGGGTAATTATTTATAATCTGATTCAAAAAATCCACTTGGGCCCGGCTCCGTGGTCGAGTAGTTAAAGTTCCGCGCGCTCTGCTTTGGTGGCCTGGGTTCGCAGGTTTGGATTCCGAGTGTGGACCTACTCCGCTTGCCAGCCATGCTGTGGTGGTATCCCACATATAAAGTGGAGGAAGACTGGCACAGATGTTAGCTCAGAGCTAATCTTCCTTGAGCAAAAAAAGGAGGATTGGCAGTGGATGTTAGCTCAGGACAAATCTTCCTCAGCAAAAAAAAAAAAAAATCCACTGAATTTTAGATGTAGGCAAAATATTTTTGAATTTACTCCTTAGGGCACTCAATTTCTCATATATGACTTTGGCAGTAGTGACTAGAAACATGTGTCTGAGTTTA